GTCCACAAACAGCATGGTGAAATTTTTTTATACTATCAAATTTTAATATTAAAGCATAAGACGCAACGTTTGGCAAAGTTTAAAAAAACCTGTACATTGGGTTCAGAGACACCTTAAAGTTTTGAAAATTTAAGGTGGTCCATGTACAGAATTTTTTAAACTTTGGCAAAAGTTGCATCTTATTACGCTTATTAAATTTGATAATATAAAAAAAATCTTCTGTGCTATTTTTTAATTATAAGCCCATAAAGCTGTAACTAAGGGTGTTTTTAGCAAGTCATACTCTTGCTATGGTAACCAATTGTGTCACAAAAATGATAACAACCTGTTCATCAAAGATTGGGCAGTTTTTTGATACCATGATTGTAGCATGACCCATCAAAATCTAAGTGATGGAAACTGTTTGAATTGTGCTTGATGTTTAGAGGGCGGGGGAGTTCACTCTGAACTTTTTCTCCATAAGACGGTGCTTTTACTGCATTTCACTGACAGTAAAAGTAAATGCCCTGGGTATCCCCCAATTTGATGGGGAGGGGGGGATGGTGGGTGTTTCAAATGACTGGTGCACTACAAAAATAGTGATTAAAATTACAGAAACAGGAGATTGAGATGACCAAAACCACCGCAGCGCCATATTAGGAAGCCCCCATGAATAAAATGTTAAACTATATATTTATGTACAATAATTTATATATTAAAAAACAAAAACTCTATATAAGCAAAAACAAAAACAACAATTAAATTTCTCCAAGAAGTAACCAAAACGTACTCAAAATAAATTTACCTTTTCGATTAATACGTCCCTCTTTTCCTCTTTCAACAAGTCGACCTTGTTTAATACGACGACCATCTTCTCACAGAGAATCTCTCCAATTACGAGACACTCCGCTGTTTGGGTCTGCATCCCTTTAGTGACATCTACTACCAGCATCATCATATCAATAATCTGAGCACCTCCAATAATAGTCCTGATTAGAGAAGCGTGGCCTGGACAATCAACGAGTGTGAACTGAAGAATGTCGTAACCATGCTGCTTCAGATGCTCTGGGATGGGAACTTGGAAAGAGGAAAACCCTAGATCAAGAGTTATACCACGTTCTTTACTCTGAGGGTTCTTATCAAAAGATGCCGTAGATGCAGTTGAGCTCAATGCTTTGGCAAGAGACGTTTTTCCACTGTCAATGTGACCAAGAACTCCAATGTTAAAGTTCAACACCCTTCTACAGGGATCCGCCATGCCTCGATCGTCCCCGCTCGATTTAGGCCCTGGGGCCGGCCCAGCCATGTAACCAGGCCTAAGCCTAAGCACTCCCTCAACACTCCCCTGTTTGGTTTTTGCTGATCTTTCAAAAATATTTCCATGACATCATTTCGTCATCTTGTGATTGGATAATTAGGTCCTGCACCTCTGGCCTGCACCTTTTACTTTCGATCGTGCAGTCGTGAATACTTACTTTCGAAACAGGGAAAATCTGCAAGGCAAGGTGGGTCTTTCGCCTTCTGTGTTTGGTATCTTCTTTACTTCATGCATTTGTTCGGACGATAAACTTAAGTTAATTATTAGCTGGCATTGCAGATTCAATCTACTTATTAAAGTAGAACACTCCTGCAAGTTTAAGCTTAATAAGTTCCATCCAAACGGAATATGGTTCTTTCAGTTTGTAGCTGAAGCAGAATCTTTACGTCGCACACTATTAGCCTCTGCAAACATTCGAAACGTAGTTTACAGTATGGGGCCCAGTTCTCGGCCACAAAAAACGTAAACTTGTGTTTCTTACCTTGGAATAGCCGTAAGGACTTAGAATTTCACGCATAACTAACTTCAGCATTCAGTTTACACATGTAGAGCTATCGCCTGCAGAGATTCCAACCCTCCCGATTTGATGTGTTGCCTCCCGCTCTCCCGATTCATTTCAAATTCTCCCGATTTATCATAAAATTGTGAAAACAAGGGGAAAAAATGCTAATCTTGAGAATTTTTTGATGTATTACACTTTCTTCTCATATTATCCCCCCAGTCTCTCACCGAGTGTTGTGCAGACTCATCAGGCCAGCAGTCTTACTCCATTTAGCAGCTCAAAAAAGATGGATTAACAACAGTAAAGAACAGCCCAAAGATGTCTGTGATAAGAATAAACTAAAGACCT